TGCTCCCTTCAGCACCTCCTAGCCCTGGCCCACTTAATTAGATGGTTAGAAGCCAAGGCCTTTTTCAGATAGAATAGTGATAGAAATGTAGCCGTGTTAGTGTAACTGAAACAAAATACAGGACTATGTAGCACTTTAAAGACTAATAAACTATCTTGTTAGTCTTTAAAATGCTACATAGTCCTATATTTTTCAGATAGGAATGTGTGTTCCTCTCCATCCATGCCACAGTCTTAAGGCTGCAGTCCTCTTGTCATTCCCTATACCTATACCAGCAGATCTGCCTTTAATTCAGCACCTGCATTCTACTGTCTCGGGGACAATGATTAATCAATGATCAGCCAGCTTTTGTAAAGCACCATTGATGTATTTAGGGCAAAAACAATACAGCGAAAGTATCATAAACAGTCTACATAGATGCCTGGGTTCCTGGTCTATCTCTGTATTTCGATTCTTGATTCCAGAGTGAGTCAGCTGAGCCAGATTCTTTTACAGTCTGAGACCTCTGTGTCTCAGGCCTCCTGATCGTGGTAATGCCAGTCAGTGCTACTGCCCACGAGCGGTGAAACACCAAAAGTCTGGGTATCTGCAAATGAAAGCTTGAATTAATTACATTCCCACCTTATGTCCCCAGTGATTCCAGGAAACCAACCCAACAAGACAGGAATACGATACATACACCACTTGTTGATACGATTGTTTATGAATATTCCATGTGTCCATAGCTTCTGGCACATCACCTCTGAAGTTTCTAGTCTTCCAAGGTCTCACATCTGTCACAGAACATAAGAGAGACATGGTATTCATTATGAAAGGGAGTGTGCAAGCACATAAGTGAAAACTAAGCTCCAAATACCACATCTGAAAAAAATGCATTAAAATGGATGAACCTGCCCATATGAAATTCATTAATCTCACTATATCCTCAAAAAAGAAGAGTGATCTGACTATAGGACTTTTGATGTGGGTCCCTTTGGGGGGTAGGGAGGAGGAGAATTTCATTGCTGCCATAGGACCAAAGCCTCAGACATGGGAATACAAGAGTAAAGGGTATATTAGTCTGAGGATAGCCTGGCTAACGTGGAAGGAATGTGGAAAGGTTCCATAGGAAAATCCATGGAGCAGCTCAGGTTATTGCAGCTCTGCAAGCAAGACACATGTAGCACACACACCGAGCATAACCTATTAATGCTTGTTCACTCTTCACACTATGGGTACGTCTAGATTGGCAAGATTTTGTGCAAAAGTGGCCGCTTTTGCGCAAAAACTTGCCAGCTGTCTACACTGGCTGCTTGAGTTTGTGCAAGAGCACTGACTTTATAATGTATAAAATCAGTGCTCCCACTCAGGGATAAGCCCTCTTGTGCAAGAATACTTGCGCAAGAGGGCCAGTGTAGACAGGCACCTAAATTTTTTGCTCAAGGAAGCCCGATGGCTAAAATGGCCATCGGAGCTTTCTTGCGCAAAAGCGCGTCTAGATTGGCACGGATGCTTTTGCACAGAAGCACTTTTTTCACAGAAGCATCCATGCCAATCTAGACGCGCTTTTGCGGAAATACTTTTAACAGAAAAACTTTTCTGTTAAAGGAATTTCCGCAAAATCATGCCAGTCTAGACGCAGCATCTAAGTATCTGCAAAATCATGCCAGTCTAGACGTAGCCTATATGTGAAGACCATGTTCACTCTTCATACTGTATGTGTCATTTACGCAGTCCACAAACACTTCCTAGTTAATTTGGAACCTATTTCACATACCTGTATGGTGGCAGAATTAGATTTGTATCCTAGCACCAAGGATTTGTATGTTGTGTGCAGCTGCCCCAGCGTACAGAAAATAGAGCTATTTTCTTTGACTTTAATTAAAGCAAGCAATCATCACAATCATAGCTCTAGGCAACCATACAGCTATTTCTCTCTCAGCCTCCTGGAGGACACAATTAAATATATTGAGACTTACTCCCTTCCTCCACATCCACTGTTTTTATACCCCTTCAGAATCTGTCTAATTTTTGCCATGCATAGATATTTTTCAGGCTTAACATGGGATTTGAAATTAAAATAGCACTTGCTTATGTAGTGCTACTTGTACTGAGGTCAGCAGAGTTTTGTGATCAGCAATGGTGGGTAACACAAAGGAAGCTTGGGGCTTAAAACTTAGATTTAGGTGCCCATGGCCCAGGTTTTGGCTAAAGTGCAATCCACAGCTCCTGTGTAACCCTGTAGGCACCTAAACTCACTTGGCACTGAAGTTTTCGGTGTCCTTAGCACTTATGTTTCTGTCTCTGGTTATGTGCTCTGTGCCTCATTCTAGGTGTCTGGGCACCCACATAAGCCCCAAAGCAATTCATAACCATGAAATGTAGGGCTGAAGAATGAAATCGCCCTTTTAATGAATTACAGCTACCAAAGTGATGTTATGTAACCTCATGAATTGCAACCCATTTTTAATTAATGGGATTTTAAAAATGAAACAGTACTAACTATTTTTGGATTAAGTTGTTAGTAGCCTGTTAAAAATACCTTTTTAATACATTGTAACTAAAGTGACTCCATATTATAACTGAAACCCCATTTTAATATTTGTACTGCCTTAACTCTGTTTAAAGTTAGGGCTGTGGGGGTGTAATCCAATTTACAAGTGTAAATGTGGGGGTGTGTATAAAGGGAACAGTCCCTGAAGCCAGTCTGTCTGGGTGGCCAGCTACCAGCACCACCTTGGTGGCTGAAGTACAATGTGAGCAAGTGCTGCAAAAGAACCCATCCAAGAAAGAGACAAAAGCCCCATTAAAAAAAAAGAGGTTTGCATCTGCATCTGTCATAGAGTGCTCTGGATCAGTGGAATAGGACAGAATCTATGAACTAAAACATATTTTAAAATGGGTGCAAAACTATAGGGCTGGGTCTTTCAGTTTATGATAATTCTCCAGGAGTATCAGTGTGCACAGGCATAACCCAACTACCCTCCTCATGTGTAGACCTCATGGCCAGTGAACTAGAATGGGCCATTGAGGCTGATAATTATATCCATCCTTAGGACTGTATGTATGAATGTGTGTATGTGTGGTGGATCATTTTAGAAGCTAGGGATGGCAAATGAATTCTGTATTCACAATAAATGTGGCATATTGCCTTATCCCCCTAACAAGATTCTGCTAGTTCTGTTTCTCTAAGTGCAATAAGAAAGTAGATGAACTTCTACCTTCATCTCATTCAGGGCCTAATCTGGTAGATGCCTCTGAGGTCATGTTCAATTTCCCTTTGGCCAGAGTGGGAGGAGATGTAACTACTGAGCTATTCTGATATGGAGCACTGTCAGTCTCTCATGGTGAAGGTGCCCTAACGTTACCAGTCACATCCTCTTGTGCACAATTACTGTTCCACTATGGATTAAAATACTCAAATAAGTCAATTCTCCCGCTCTATCTATGTGTGTGTGTGTGTATGGGGGGGAGGGGAGGGGGGGGGGAAGAGAGCCAGCTAT